AGGAGGGACAGGACGAGACATTAGACAGATTGACATCGCGGCTGGATGGGCTGCAACAACTGATCACCGCCCAACGCGCGCAGTTGAGCGAAGCCTCGGACAAACACCAGAACGTCGGCAAAGAGCTCAAGGACCTGAAAACCAAGTTCGGGACTCTTCAAAGGCGGTCGGATTTCTACAAGTATGTGCTACCTCCTACTTTGGTCTTTGCATCCTATAGTGTCTGGTAGCTTGTTTTGAGTCGATGGGTACATTCAGTACGTGGAATTATCTAGTGACGTATACACACACACACGCACACGCACGTATCATCCATCATGTCTTCGAGAGTAGTAAGAACTTATACGCAAACAATTTAACAATCAAATGTAAGTGAGCAATAGTCCGAGGTCTTCGTACTAGTGGATGGTGAGCATTTTTCTTGCAAATCATGCTTGGTGTGCATATGCCCGTTAGCGTGTCGCACATTGGGCAGCATCACCTGTGCTCAATGGCAACTGTTTGGCTCGGACTGGATATCGCTACAAACACATAGTAAACCCCGAGTGGTCAGCATGTGGCCTCCACTAAAGACGATTACACTACGTACACTATAGTACATAGCATAGTATTGGACGAGATGCAGAGTATCACTATATGTTCATAGAGGCGGAATGCCAGTGGGTGAAGCACGACGGAGAGACCTTCTGCAAGCATCGTCACACCACACCACATGAGATCGAACTGTGTAGTAAATTCGTAAGCAATTGACCCTTGTTTCCGTCAGAGCAAATAGAGAGTTGGGCGAGTTCGACATTACAGGGGCAGTAGAAATCATCACATCGTTGTGTTTTTATATATATGAATTTGATGGGATATTATGAAGGCGAGAAGTTTGCTATCATTTCGGTAATACTTCCGTTCTATTATTATTATTGTGTGTCCAGATTAGAGATTAGGGGCTTGCAAGATATCATCAAGTCGTTTTATGCACAGGATAAGGTGTTCGGACATAACAACGAGACGTACGAACTGCACGCTAACAAACTCCAAGAGACCATAGACGGCTTGAATAAGGCCCTAGATGAGCAGGTATGCATCCGCTGCAGCATCAAACGTATAGTTGCAAATATTGCTTCCTATCCTTGAAATGTGCATATACGTTTGCATCTATATGGAAGGTCTACGTGTATATGTGTATATGAATTTAAATATTGGCATGTTATTCATAAGTAGATTACTAAGATATCTGGACTTAGTGCTTGTACGCTGCGTACAAGCATGCTACTGTTTGGTGCACCACACTTGTGCTATAAACATGCGCTATGACAGTGAATGAAGTTACGGGTGAAGTTATGTCTATATATGTACGTGAGAGGATAATATGGATTCGGATCCTACTATCGTCAATATCGCAGTTGGATATGTCTCTTACAAAAATACATTCGCACCACAGCGCGACAATGTTGTATCGATTACATCCGAACGAGACGATGCAAAGCGTGAGAACACGCAACTGAGCGAGGAATTGCGCAGGGAAAAGGACAAGACCGTGCTAGAGGCCCAAACGCTACAGCTGACGGCCTCGACTGCATCAGCGAGTATGCGTACCAAAGAAGCCGATGTGGATGTTGCCGCACTGCGAATGAAACTCAATCAGGTTTGTTAATGTCGGTGCGTCAGTACATGTGTGTGCCTCTGCGCCTATCTGTCTTTGTGTCATGTATGCACATGTGTAATGCGCTTGTGGACATGCGCGGAAGTGCATGCGTGCAAGTAGCCATGTCATTACTTGCATAAGGAAATGTGACCTGGCAGTGCTTGGCATGCTCCCACAATGCTGACAGAGATGTGTTTATAAAGAGTAAGCATGCTCCCGTAGTATGGGTTCCTGACAACAGACTGGGTCTCACAATATTATCATTGGGCCTATTCATACCACAGGCGACCGTGCAACTCGCCAATGCGAAAGCCGTCCTCCAGCTTAGACAGTCGCACAACCCCGCAACCAGCAGCGGCACTCCGGCCACTGACTACGACCCGCGCACAACCAAGGTAGGCAGCCGTATCATGGGTGTGTGAGACCTCCGGTGTACTACCGAAACATGTTGTACTACTCGAATTAAGCATTTGTACCACTGGTGTGAGACGTCCAATGCACAGCTGCGGCAGATTGTACTACTTGAACTATGCAGCCGTATCAAGGGCGTGTGAGGCTTCCAATGTCTACCCAAACGTATTGTACTACTCGAAATAAGCATTTGTACCACTGGTGTGAGACGTCCAATGCACAGCTGCGGCAGATTGTACTACTTGAACTAGTCAGCCGTATCATGGGCGTGTAAGGCTTCCAATGTACTACCCAAACGTATTGTACTACTCGAAATAAGCAGCCGTATCATGGGTATGTTAGACCTCTGATGCACAACTACGGCAGATTGTACTACTTGAACTAGTCAGCCGTATCATGGACGTGTTAGACTTCCAATGTACGCCAATGTTCTACCCAAACGTATCGTACTACTCGAAATAAGCAAACCGTATCATGGATGTGTGAGACCTCCGATGCATAACTACTACAGATTGACTACTTGAACTATGCAGCCGAATCATGGGCGGCTGAGACCTCAAATGTTCTGCTAAAGCAGTACTGTACTACTTGAAATAGGCGGCAGCAGTACTGTACTACTTGAAATAGGCGGCTATATTCGGGGTGTGTTCGACTACAGATGGGTTGGATTGTACTACTTACACTAGACAGCTGCCTATCGGGTGCGTGTGAGCTCGAGACCTCCGATTTTATTTCTCACAGTCTGAGAGTCGCGCGATGCATAAGCTCTCGGTCTAAGCTATAATAAAATGTCGATCAATCTATTTCGGAGGTTTGGGGTCTCACAACTGTGATGCTAGACAATACCACGTCACGAGTCGAGTTGCACTGGCGAAAGTTCGGTTTGAAGTTGACATAGCATTGCCATATTTTCTCGATTGAGTCCTTATGGGAGAATGGTTCAGGCATCTCATGAAGGCACCCCTGATAAAGCTAGCAGTAAACCTTTAATTAACCTGTGCAACGCTTCTATGTGCGTAGCGAAAACGTTGTCTTTCATTTGGAGACAGTGTGTGTTTGTGAGTGCATGCCGAGTAGCTGCTTCGGATAAACACCTGAGTATGGAAGGTTTCCGCCACATGTTGAAAGCCTAACACTGCCGTAAGCGAAACGATTGAGTATACTACTAACAGGGAGTGCGTGTCAACAAGAGGGACTACGTGTACTGCTGTACTAAAGGACGGGAAAAGGATTCTTATTATTTGCTTGATTGATTCACCCGAGGCCACAGCTGGGCACACACGCTGCACAAACATTTATACATAAGTATTCGGAACTCATAATCACCGTAGTGATACCGTCCTCGTATTTTTTTGTACTTAGCCAGCAAGATAGTGGTGTGCCCTTGCCTACTTATGATGCGTCGAGTGCTTTGCCGCGCTGAGCTTCTTGTTATATTTTCCATCTATCAGATGTATATGTACTAAAAACGCCCACCGCATATACTTGTATATGATTTCAATCTATACCCTGGATTATCTCCAACTCTATCTTGTCGACACCATACCCTCCCACTGACGTATTCGCAGGGATTCCTTACCATCTTGTAGGTGATACACCTGCGCCACAACCCCGTGTCAGACAGTCTAGCCAGGTGTCAGGAGGAACTACAACACGAAGTAGTGCGGCTGACCCAGGAGTTGACTCGTGTGGAGCAGTCCGTCGGCAGCAGTACGCACACGGCAGCAGTACGTATATGTGTTTTGGGCCACTTTCCTGGAACTGTTTGTCTACTATAGTTGCTATGCGCGCTTGGGTCTCGTACAAGTTTTTTGGTTTGTTTGTTTCCATTTTGCAGTGCAGCACCGCTACAACAGGTACGCTGAAGACAACCCCTGTCGTTATTTAGGCAGTGTTCTCGCGTCCTTCCTCGAGCCTGGTTTTATCGGAGAAGTGAACGCTGATGAGATGAATTCAAGGTTTTAAATACACCTTACATTCGCACTGCACGTATGCGTGCCCTTGTGTTGGCTATTTATCATTGGTGGTATTTCGATGGATGTACATTTGAAACCTCGATATATATATTGTATGTTTCCTATGCTTGCAAGCCACAACTTATGGCGTTTTTGTCTAATCTTTCGTCCTCATCAAAATCATCGAAACATTTGGGAAGTGTCACGGCTATTGAATTTTTTCCACTTCTATAAACTCGGATTATAGACACCCACTAGTAGCTGTTTGATTAGCTCCCTGCTTTGACTGTCCATTGCATGATTACTATAGCGTGTTCGTTAGTATCCTGACCTTGTTCGATCGTCTTTCACATCAGACATGCACTCACGCAGAGGTACAGCTTGCATAGCTGGTGTGTGCATGTGGATTTAAAACTGGTAGTATTATTCTCACTAGTGCTAAGCGTACATTGCTCCAGATACAGACAGTAACGACCGTCCATTATATCATTAACACCTGTGAATTGCTCGACAGCTAGGTCGGGCGAGCCATGAAGCTCGGATTCTGTGTGCTTGTCAACCAGCAAAGGCAACCACAGATTTACATCTGTACATGTATAAATAATTTTATAGATTTTATAGAATATATCTACATAGTCGTATAAACAACATAACTACATGTATAGTAACTCATATACACGCCATCTATCGTATGTTCATGGCGGTCTGACACTGTTCTCAGGCGACCGCTGTACAGATTTTGGATGAAAACAAAGCTCTCCGCGAGCAGCTCAAGACCGCAAACAACCGCAACAACGTCATTAAAGAGGTATATATCGCCTTAGTCCTTAGTGCAATGTGTTGCCTCGCCTGTGCCTTGGATCTGACTCAACTCCCATGTTTTTCATATTCACATGAGCGTAAGATTTTTAATGGCCGCGTGCACCTGGAATTATATATGTATATATATATATATATACAAATATCAATAGATATAACTATGTGTGTGTCTATGT